GCTGGACCGACCAATACTGAAAAAAAATATGTTGTATTGGTCTCCTGAAATATTGAAAAAATAAACCTTGGCTTAGTCTTGACACAAAAGTTTCTTGTGGTGTTTCGTATCGTCTTGGTTTTGTCTCGTTACTTGGGCAAAATTTTTTATTGAAACAATGACCTTTAGGTATACATTTTGATGAAGCTTGTGGAGTTGTCCTTTCTATTTTAAAAAATAAAACAGTATACGAAAGAAAAAGAAAGAAAAAAACGTTGGGTCCAGATTACTAAAGTCATGTATAAGATAAAAATAATTGAATTGAATTGTAAAAAAGAAATATGGATCAAACTTGTGGTTTGCATCTGACAAGTTGAGGACAAGTTTCGTCAGTCCTCGTTATTACCTTAAATAGCACTAACAATGGCAAGTACAAGAACATTATTGAAAAATAAAACTATGAAAGCTTTGGATTGTGTAAGTTAAGGATCAGATACAGAAAATCAAGAATTATTGTATAAATGATGAAAATACAACCTGTACATTGTTTAAGACACATGTCAAAATTACTCTTGACTCTTCTGAACCCCTATGTGTTGGTACTTTAGAAAAAAATTTTTTGTCTGATGTACGAGCGATTTGTTTAAGCGACTGTACATGCAAATTATTCCTAAGCCATCACAAAATAATGCAACGCGAAAAAAAGGGTGCTAGTCGAGCATATTCACTGACACGTATTCAACAAAAATGATGTTCGTCCAGTATCCATGTATATAGGTAACGTATCGGTCCAAAAGTCTACGAAAAAAAAAGAAAAAAAAAAAAAAAAGGAAACAACGCTTCGTCGCATCCCCCTAGCTCCAGCTGGACTCGTTCCTTTTTCCATTTCCCCCGGCCTGTATTTATTCCGCTCCCTTTCCCACTATTGTCCTTTCTTGTTTTCCCCTTCCGCCCTATTCTCATCCTTGCTGCTGCTCCTTGTTTACCTTCCTCTCTCTCTCTCACCGCCGCCAATCGGCCCGTAAAACTTTTATTCGACCTAACGAGCGCATTACGTTTAATTTATACGGGCAGAAACAAGAGAAAGGGAAGATCGGGGGTTTTCGCGTTTCCTCCGTGCTCTGCATGTACACTATGTACAGTACCCAGAGGATGGAATAGGAGAGCGCGCGTATGCAAGTATACGGCGTGCAAAGACGACGGGGACGATTATACGTGTATGTATATATATGTATGTAAATGGATGCGGGACACTACTGTAGCCCCCATGTAGTAAGCACTAGCTCGGTCGAGGTCAAGGCATGGGTCCCTCCCTGTGGAGGAGAGGAGGGAGCTCCCATTGCCCGGGAATGCAAAAGTGCTACTCATTACGGACATTGAATATTTATTGCGAAAACTTTTCTTCTTCGAGAACTCCAGGACCCGCTGCGCTACCGCTTGTTTGATGTAACGCGATAAGATGATGCACGATTATGCGCTGGCGATAAAACACGTTGTAACGAATATTCGTTACTCTACGCTCCTTACCCTATACTCTACCCCCCTGCCCACACCTTTTTTGTTGTTTTTGTTTTACATACTTTTATTTGTTACCTCGTTCTCTTTCTCCTCGGGTTTGCGGTTCTATACCTATGTGCGTGACTTGTTATTATTGGGTGACTGGCTACTGCGTGAATCATCGGTCAACCGATGTCCCCGGTCAGTGCGTATGCGTGTAATATTTAAGGTACTTACTTTCGTAATTGGAGAATTTTTTTAAATCCAATTCGTCTTAACTCGATATGGAGGGCTTTTAATTTTTGAGAAAATCTGGGATTAGGAAGCTTTGTTAAATTTGTCAAATCGGGGCTTCAAAAGAGACAATTCGTCGAATTGGGGCTCATTCGTTTCAGATCATCGATAAGCGTTATTTGCTTGTCAATGTGTCGATGGATTGGTGGTGGTTGTCTACTATTTCTTTCATATGAACACATGGTTTTGCTTATCCACGTATATAATTCTATTTGTACACTTGTATGTGTCTCTATGTAGAGCTTATCAACAAATAGTATACAAATAGTTTATTTTAGACGTTTGTCTTTTTTATTACAACATCCATTCGAACAACTTGCACGATGATGCGTAAGAACATTTATTTTGATGTATTTATTACTTTATAACAAAACAGCACAAGCTTCTTAATCACATAATATGTATATTTTGTTGCAAAATTTCGTTGAATGTTATTTTTTCTGATAAGAAATTAATCAAAAAAATTCAATGGGGCATGGCGTTTTAATGACTCGGGAGTTATTTACTTATATTTTTTTTACTAAATTTGGAAGCACTCAATTGACTCAAAAATAATAATTACATTCAATCGGAGCAAGTGATTTTTATTTTGCAAATAAAATATTAGACACAACATTATAAGGGCTCTCTTGTCTCACATTTGTAGAAATTAAGCTTAAGCAATTCGTGGTAAGTATTTCATTGAATTAAAAAACAAAAATAAATAAATAAATAAGCAACAATGGTAGAGTGTCAATAAATCCCTTAATCAGATACAAGCCACCAACTGTACTGCTAACGAAATACCTGCAGAGATATTTCCGTACTCCTATACCGAAACACGTCAGCGATAAATCAATTACACCGAAATTAAAACACAGCAATGATCTCACATCGCCCGTAAGACGGAATACAGATGGGGGTTCGAGTATTTTTCGCAAAAAGTGATATGGCATACATTTTTTCAACCAAAAAATCCTCGTTCTCTCGAACAGGAGTTGATCCGGACGAAGGGCTACGAAGAAGGGGACATGTCGGCCATAAGGGGAAAATTATTTTCTCGAGGATTGGAAAAGCTCAAGCGCAACATGTATGCCACATGCATGTACACACGTTCACGAGTATTGAACGCGGGCGAGAGTGTATATACATATATATAAATATATATACACGTATAGGTACAAGTCCCCTCGAGCAGGCAAGTGAGCCTTGTATCAGAGGTATCGATCTCGGGGCGAGTTCGAGGAGCGCATGTAAGTCTCGAGTTAAACGAATTAATCCGGCATTGATTTGTTTAAGTTTCAGCGTCATAATTTACAGGTTCGCGGTGCACGTACGCAAAGGTATACGGTCGAGCAGTGCGCTCGTGCACGTAAGTATGGTACACATGTACAGGCGCACGTGATGTGGGAACCCGCGAGAGTTTCTCTCGATATCCATTATACGGCTTCAGAAACATTGTGTGTGTGTGTATATATACCGAGAAAGCGCGGGAGAGGGCAAGGAATATATATATTGCAGGCGCGACTCGCTCGAAGGGGGAGAATATTTAGCGCGATAAATTTACAGATTGACGCGATATAACGCATTCTGCCATAATAAAATTATGTACTTCTCTTATATATATTATATTCCTCCCCTTCTCTGGTGCGAGCATATATTTTATCGACCCCCCCCCCTCCCCCCACCCTCAACAGTTCTCGTTGTGTAGCCCGTGCTCTCCGTCTCTTTGCACGACTGTTTGTACATACGTTTGCCTACAAGCATCTTTACATTCCGTTCCTTTTTCTGATTTATAAGTAGGTATGTGCGCGGGGACTTTGGCAAGGGTTTTTTTTTAAACAAATTTCCGATTCATCGGGCGAAGAAGCTTATTAAATAATTCTCTTTGTGAATCGTGATGACGTTAACTGGTGCATTGTCAAAAAGTTTTTTATCACAAGGTATATTTGTGCAATATCAACAACTGGTGGGTAAACGCGAATCTCTGCACATCATGAGAGTTACTTGTTATTACAATCGGTGACTTGTGCGTTAAGAGTCGTTTTTATATCGCATTAGTTTACTTATTATTATTATTATTATTATTATTATTA